TGAGCAGCCAGGGATAGAGACAGGGGATGGAGACTGCTTAAGGTGGCACTTGCCTCTAGAAGAAATGTTGGTGAAATGGCAGTCAGTCAGTCCTGATGATTCAACAGGACAAACATATTTCACAGAATGGGGATTTTCCAGCTATATATCTATACGGTGTTTGTACCAACAGTCCTACGTGGAGATAAGCATGCTGGATGATACAGACTCATGTGCACAAATGCAGATGGTCTCTAAACCAGTGCAGGGTGCCTCTATTATCAGTACATGAAAGGAACTGCCTATTAGAAAACAGTAGGAATCCCCATTCTGAACCTCACACTTGGCAAAATATCGCAAGTTAGGCATTGAAAGCCTCTAAGGAGCTTTGAAATCTTGGCCTAACACAGAGCCTCATTCCAGGTTGCATAATAACATAAAATCTTCTGTGAAAGGCACTAATTATTTCATGGCTCTTAAAGCTTCCTCATGATTTTTAAATAAGTTTTTTTGCCTTCTATAGCACAAATCCTATTAATCATGGTATTAGTTATAATACCAGAGAAATGATGATAGAGCTATAACACTCCAACTGCAAAACCACAGGAAATGTATCCAGAGATTTCAGAGCCCTAAGTGGAAGGATACCCTTTTCTGACATTCTGGAAAACTGCCCTGGCTTTGAACCCTGTTAATTGGCCAAATACGGATTTTTATTTTTTTCTCAATACTTTTTTTTTTTTTCACTCTTTATGAAAGAGAAATTCAGCATTTATTTAAATGGACTGAACTCCAGTCTAAGAACTAAACCCACTTGTCTGTTTTTTTATCATATTCTAGCAAAAAGCAGAGAGGAAAACCCTACCAAGCAGGAGCGTTTCTGGGTGAAGGGATTAAGAAGGAAAAATCTGATTTACACAGACTTGAGGCTATAAAGTCCTTTCTCACCATTTCCAAATTTAAGTTTTCTGTACTTTCTCCTTTGAAAATCCACATTTGGGAAACACTGTATGTAGAAGAGTAAATCCCTGGGAGAAGATACGAAAGGGCAGACACCTACAGCAAAACCCAATAGGAATCTATAGGTTGACCTTCCTGAACAGTCAGTGCCAGGGTCAGCAGTGAGCAGTTAGGAACATAGAATCCACTAATGCTGATAACTGCCTCAGTTTTACCAAGCCACACTAAGAATGTGGCTCTGTGTTTCAGTTTCCTCAGCGGAAAAAATGGCTTATGAGGCTCCTGAATATGTCTGCTCTCACTCACTGCTGCCTTCGTAAGTAATTTCACACTTTCCATTATGCCAAAGCAGTCTCTAGAGTTGCACCATAAACTGGATGATACAAAATGTTCCAAGTTGAAATGAAGAAGGACCTCTGAAAAACCTCAGGGTCTTGCCATTTCAACGTAGTTTAAGAGCACTGCTAGAGCTCCTTTGTGAGCATATGGTGTGCTGTATCCTACAGTAAGCAAAGGGTTTAACAAGAAGGAATAACTGCACACCTTTTATGCCTTCTTCAATTTGATGTGACTTTAATTGGCTTTAAATTTTTGATGAGATGACAATATCAAAGGAAAGTAATTTGATGTACTCCTGTGTCTGTAAGAAAGTTGCCAATATAAAACGGGTTACAAAGTCTCCTATGAACTTGGCAGATAGGACCAAATTATTTCTGCTCTTCACAGGACCTATGTTTAGGACTTCAAACTTAAGTATGAGGGCTGGAGCAACAGACTCTTTTTCTCTCCCATTTCTGGGTGTATTTTACTTGCCACCCAGATCTTTGCCAGCTGCTCAAGAGTAGCAGAAGTTCCTGCAAATATCGGCTGGCCCTGGATCATTTCAACAAATATACAGCCTGCACCCCTGCAAGGTATGAACTCATTCATGCACGTGACATATAGGGTATGATTGTTGGGATGGGCAGGGGAGAAAGGAAGAGAGATAATTTTTGGAATGGAAATTTAGAAATCCTGATTTGTAAATGCAGAAATCCTGATATAAGCTCTAAACACTATGTATTTTGCAGCTCAAGTCTGAAAATTACCAGTCTGATGTGTAGATACTGTACACCTCATGTCACCTTGTGAGAGTGTGTGTGTGAAGCAAGACAGGCCGTGGGGTGTCTGTATATATGTAAATAAATATAGGCTTCAGTGAAGGCTGATGTACCTCTACAGTATGGTGGTAGGCAGGATGTAGCATTATAAAGAACCCTACCGATTGTGAGAAGCCAGGAAGGTGTGATTTGGGAAGGGCCATCTTATACACCCCTGGTCCTGCAGCACTGTTCTAAGCGCTTGCACCTGGCCCTTGTTGCAAGTTGTATGTAGCACCATTAACCTCATCCAAGTCCTGTAGATTGAAACACTTGAATTAAAAAGCTGACAAGTCAAATAGGTTGGGAGCAGACTAGAGATAGGTCACATGCACATCCCTCCAGGATTTCAGAAGAAAATAGAGCAGTCAAAGTTCCATACAAGTCTGTTCCCATCTCCTTTTTCTCATCAGTACCATCCACTAAAAAAAAACGAACCATCCTTCACCAGCAAGACAAGACAGGCCATATCCTCAGAAAAGATAAGGATAACCCACTAAGCACCATCTTTTTTGCCAGCACTAAACAATTTGTTTCAGGTCTTTTTCAATTTATCCTGTTACAAACTCATCTAAAAAGATGGTTGTGGCAGAAGCCTGTGGAATACTAGGTTGTTTTCCATGAGGAAAAGGTGCAAAATTGGAGTGATAACAGCAGGAAAGATAAACAGGGAAATACTACACACTATATTGGCTTGAAGGATACATTAGACACAGAAGGAACCCAGATTTTTTAACCACTACAGTGATTTTTCCTTCAGAAGGAATTAGCTCTTCACTGGAAAACTGAAGGCCTAAAGAACTCGGTAAAAACAGCAAGTTAAAGTATTCTTATTTTTATGCCATTCACTGCTCTGCACTTGTGCCAAAGCAAACCAGTCAGCTTAAAAAAAAAACACCAAACCCTGAAAAAAAATGCTTAATTTGTAAAATTTGTAAAATTATTTGTAAAATAAGTGGATTATTCCTACTGGCAATAATGATGAGATAGTTGTGGTCTGGGTAGACTTACCTATTTGCAAGTATTTCCATCTCTTCTTTTATGGTGTAAAACTGCTCATTTACTTTTTAATCTTTTTCCTCCAAACCTTTTCTAGGTTTCCTGTCTTTTCACTAAGCCCCATCCCAACTTTTCAGGTTTCAGTCTCAATCTTCTTTGGTTATATCAGATTTGAGTCCTTTAAGCTCAATTGTTGAAAATCCAGCTTTGTGTAACAGGGTCAGAAAGTATTTTTTTCACTTGCTGAGCAACAACTGGTAATCTCTTCTGATCATCTGTACTGCTATGTTACCCCTTGCACCTTGTTTTTGCAATGCTGTAGATGCTTTTCCCACCTGGCTGTGGTGAGTTGAAAGCCTGACATGCAACTCATCTGCAGCATTCATTTTTGTCATCCTTGTGCATCAGGTGATGCCAAGCTTGTTTGCAGATCCATATATAATGCTATTTTCACAAACATCTCTGCCGCACTTTTCCTTAGCTTCCCATACCCTAACCCTGGGTCTTGTGAGCTTAGCTCCTTACTTGTCTAATATGCTCTTATAGGGCCCAGGCTTTGTGAAACTTAACCCACAGCTTTTGCAACATAGATTTTCTGTGTTTCATAGTGCTACCATATCACTAGGTATTATTTTGGAGCCCAGAGACTGATTCCACTGAGATCAGTGTCATACCAATCCTTTTATTTTCTTAGCTGATGTACATGCCCAAATGGCTCAGCCTGTTTTGCAACCACAGGGGCTGCTGTAATCCACTGATTCCATTGCACAAGTTTAACTGCATAT